TATCATGCTAAGTGAAATGAGTCAGAAAGAGAGGGATAGACATAGATTGCATTCATCTGGGGAACATAAAGTAACAAAATAGGAGACTAACACCCAAGAATAGCAGAGATAAGTACCAGGAGGTTTGCTCCACGGCTTGGAGGCCAGCCTCATAGGCTAGGGGAAAAGGCAGCTCAGATAGAGAAGGGAGCACCAAATAAAGGGTGTTGGGAGGATCCACCCAGGATGGGAGATGCATGCTGAAAGTAGACTATAGACCAAACATAATTGCCACTCAATGCCTCTTTTGCAAACCACAGCATCAAAAAGGAGAGAGAGAGAAGAAAAGGGGCAGGGTAGGATGGTGGGTTGGGGGGTGGGAGGGATACTGGGATCCGTGGTGATGGAGAATGGGCACTGGTGGAGGGATGGGTACGCGATCATTAGGTAAAGGTAAAGGCCCTCCCGTTGATCGTCGATTTGCTCGAGCGGGCCCAGTAACGTCTCCATTGGAGACTTTGTTGTTACTGTGTCTGGCATATCGAATACTCTCGGTAGCTTGCCGGGCTCTCCGAGAGGGGCGGAGGAATCGAACTCGGGTCAGCCATGTTGGCGGCTTGTAAGGCGAACGCCCTACCGCTGTGCTATCGCTCCAGCCCTCGGATGGGAGACGCGATCATTGAATAGCTGAAACCCAAGCACAAAAACTTGTAAGTCCACAACTGTACCTCATGGTGTTTCATTAATAAAAATTAAAAAACAAAAAAACAAAAAAATCTTTATGGATTAAAAATAGAACCTTTCAAGCTAGAAAAAAAAAAGATTAGCTGCTGTGTCCTTTTCACTCCATCAAGTGTTGTGCGTTAGTCTTGGTACGTCCATTGCCTAGAGTGTGAGATGTCACGCGGCCATGAACGATTGCCGACAGTGCTCAGCTCTTACCCTGCTCTTACCCAAAAACATTTCCAGCTCCTGGTAAACGCTTTTTAGGGCCTGAACAGCCCTGGGCCCTTGGCTCTGGGTATCATTTGTGTCATCAGTCACCCAAATGTTAAGTACTTTCTACTGACGTCACTAATGTTGTTCTCAATCATTTTTTTTTCTCTTCTTGTAAATCTTTATCTGCCCTTTAACTTAGCCCAGGATTGATCTTTCCTGGGCAAAGGGTGAGAACCTTCTTGAAAATGGAACTAATATCCCACCAGGGGGCCTGGGGCCTCCAAGGGTTGTCCTGTGTGGCTTTGCGTGGGCAGTGCCGGCGATGGAGCCGTGGCCCTGGCCAGGGCCAGAAATGGGCTGCTGTTACGGGCACCGCCGACTGCAGCCTCACAGATGGGGCCGCTGTTGTCCACTGAGGGTGCTTCGGACCCTGCCTAGGACCGGCCCAGAAGATCCCCGTCCAGCTGGAGCCTGATAAAAGGATTTATTCATTAGGATCCGCCTGCATGGGGCCGAGCGATAGCACAGCGGGGAGAGCTTTTGCCTTGCACGTGGCTGGCCCAGGTTTGATTCGCAGCATCCCATAGAGTCCCCCCCACCCCCGAGCACCGCCAGGAGTGATTCCTGAGTGCAGAGCAAGGAGTCACCCCTGAGCATTGCCGGGTGTGACCCAAAAAGGAAAAAATTAAATTAAAAAAAAAAAAAGAATCCGTCTACACATGGGATGGCTCGGTTGCCATTACCGCTGGCCCTGACTCTTGTTCAGACACCGGAGCAGAAATGGGATTTTCCCAAGGCTCATTAGAGGGTCCGTGCAGGCCAGGTGGGCCTGAAGTCTAGGGCAGGATGCCGGCGAGCAGTGCTTGGTGCTTGGTGCGTGTGCTGTCCACTGCTGGGAGACAGATCCAAATGCACCCCAAGTGTTTGGTTTTGTTATTGTTTGGGTTTTCCAGCACTCCGAGTACGTGGGGACTGGCTGCTTGCAATCAAGTGGCCGGTCCCTTGGGCCCCAGCAGCTGAAGTTCTTCACTTAAATTCCCAACTCCTCCTCTTCAGACTTTGGCCATCTTGAAGGCAGTTTAAAATAACAAAAGCAGGGGCCAAGGGCTGCAGTGGTCTGTACTGGCAGATCCCAGGGGATGGGAGGGAGTTCGCCTTGCACACGGCCGACCTGGGTTCCATCCTGGACCTGGGTTCAATCCCTGGCATCCCACATGGGCCCCCGAGCACTGCCAAGAGGAATTCCTGAATGCAGAGCCAGGAGTAAGCCCTGATCGTTTTTACTGGGTGTAACCCAAAAAGCAAACCACAAACAAAGAAATAAAAATAGAGCTTCTCTGCCCCCTGCCCCGGGAGTTCTGACAGGGCTCAGCCCCAGCTGCCTTCGAGGGAGGCCCCAGGGGCCCAGGACTCTGGGGTGGAGCTGTGCACGGCCCCGGGCAGGGCTCGGTAGGCAGATAGCTGTGCCCAGGATGGGCGGGACCGACCGTGGCTGATTTGTTGGTTTTTGGGGCCAAACCTGGTGGTGCTCAGGACTGAGTCCTGCCTGGGTGCTCAGGGATTCATCCTGATGGGGCTCAGGGGACAGTCTGTGGTGCTGGAACCCAGGTTGGGCCACGTGCAAAGCCAGCGGGCAGCAACCCCGCGTGCTGGCCCCCTTCCTGCAGCTGTGCTGATTCCTCCAACACACCGTGTCCACGTCCTGCTCATGTTCAGGGACCCGACTGTGCTGGCAGATCGGCCTGTGTCTAGGGATCTCTCTGTGCCCAGGGATCTCTCTGTCCACGGATCACTCTGTCCACAGATTTCTGTGTCCACGAATCTCTGTGCTCACAGATCTCTCTGTGTCCATGCCCTCTGATCTCCAGCTGGGAGGGCGGGGGAGCCCTTCTGTGACTGCAGCTTGTCCTGGGGCTCTGGGATGTGGCGGGAAGACCCCAGCACATGTGTGGCCACGGCACCGGAGCTGAGTGTGCCCTGTCCTCAGGGAGCCCCGGGGAAGCCTGGAAAGCTCCTCACGTGTGACTGGAGCCCACAGCACTGGCCCCACTGGCCCCACCGGCCCCGCCAGTGTCATGGGTGTGAAATGTGACAAGCACCTGCTGTTATTAGTGCTGGGCAGGACAGGAAACGCCTCTGGGCAGGCGAGGTCCAGCGGGGGCGGGAGCCACAGGGCCTTTGTGCTTGGCTCTGTGCTGCCCGGCCTGCTGGCTCGTGTCAGGTCCACGCAATGGTGGGAGGGCGCCGCCAGCCAGGCCCCTTCCTCTCAGCCCGCCCTGTGTCTCCACCGCCCACTGCAGCTGGCTTCAGGCACCGCCCACTCACCCGCCTCCCTCTCCGTGCTCCCGGGAGGCTGCAGCTGCGCCCGGCCTGTCTAAGCGTGTGTGTGTGTGTGTGTGTGTGTGTGTGTGTGTGTGTGTGTGTGTGGTGCGTGTTGCATGTGTGCAGGGACAGGGCTCCGAAGCCCGCAAGCCCAGGAGGGACCCAGGAGCCCCGGAAACCCGGGCCAGAATGGAGGCAGCTGCTGTGATCCATGTGGATGCAGTGGGGAGGAGGGCGTTTGCCTTGCGTGTGGCCGACCCGGGTTCAATTCCCAGCATCCCATCTGGCCCTCCGAGCACTGGTAGGAGGAATTCTGAATGCAGAGCCACGAGTAATCCCTGAGCATCGCTGGGTGTGATACACACACACACATACGCGTGCGAACACACACACACACACACACACACACACACACACACTAAGCCGTGTGGATGCAGAGAGGGCTCCTGCTCTCGGGTTATGGGGGAAGAAACCCACCCAGACCCATGGCCTTCGCTGCAGCCTAAGTGAAAACTCCAGCCGGGCCCGACTTCCCGATGCGACCTTTCACAACTCAGCAAAGAACAAGGGCAGAATCTACATACACACGGGGCTGGCGTGATAGGACACAAGAAAGGGCACTTGCCCCGCACAAGGCCGACCCGGGTTCGATCCCCGGCATCCCATAGGGTCCCCCAAGCACCGCCAGGGGTGCATGAGCCAGGAGGAACCCTTGAGCATCGCCGGGTGTGGTTCAAAAACAAATCACGCGCATATATACACATACATGTATACATGCATAGACATACGTGTATGTCTATTTAGTGTCAGGCACAGGCCACTGGATCACAGTGTTTCCAGTGTGGCAGGCGGGTGGATTCAGTCCCCTGGTGCTCCCCTCCTCGGCCCCCGGCCACGGTCCTGAGACGGGTGTGAGTGAAGCCAGGGCCAGATCCCACGGGCCACGGAGGAGCTGGCGTGTCAGGCTGTGGTGGGGCCTGAATCCGAGTCCAGGCACATCGATCAGACATAGTTCGGGGTCCAGTGGGGCGGACTGCACCGGAACTGATCGGTCTGCAAATCCCTCTGCCCCTCTGCCGCCTCTGCTTTCTGGCCAGCCTCAGTTTTTTTTTTCTTTTTTTATTAGTGAAACACCATGAGGTACAGTTATAGGCTTACAAATTTTGTGCTTGGGTTTCAGTTATACAATGATCAAGTGCCCACCAGTGCCCGTCATCCATCACCACGGGTCCCAGCATCCCCCCCCACCCTCCATCCCCCCCCCCCCCCCGTCCCACCCTGCCTCTGTGGCAGGGTATTCCCCCTTGTTCTCTCTCTCTTCTTTTGGGTACTGTGTTTTGCAAGAGAGGCCTTGAGTGGCAATCATGTTTGGTCTATAGACTACTTTTAGCATGCTTCTCTCACCCTGGGCGGGTCCTCACAACACCCTTCATTTGGTGCTCTCTTCTCTATCTGAGCTTCCTTTTCACCTAGAACGTGTGTGGCCAGCCTCAGTTTTGTGTCCATTTCAGGTTGCCTGTGATGGTCACTTTGCTCCTCACTGAAGGCAGGGGAACGGGTTGCGGCTTCTCTGCGTCGCGGAGAAGGAGTGGAGTAGCGGGGAGGCGTGTGGGCAGCCCCCGTGGGCTGTGGGCGGGTCACCTGCCCCTCCCCGCTGGGTCATGGGGTGCTGATCTCCCAGACCCCGCCCCTCCCTCCCTGCCTCGGGCAGGTGGCGTCTCTGTCCCCAGCGTGGACTGACAGCCCCTGTTCTCCCGCAGGGTGACCTGCCTGTGTGCCCAGTTCGAGGCTGTCCTGCAGCACGGCTTGAAGAGGACGCGGGGCCTGGCCCTCACGGCCGCCGCCCTCAGACAGGCTGCGGGCCTGTCCAGCAAGACCGAAACAGGTACCCTGGGCTGGTGGCCACGCACGCCCCCACACGCCTCTCCCTAGCTGGTGAGGCGGGCGGTGGGGGGGGGGGGCGGCTTTGGGAGAGGCACGGACGGGGGCACCCACATCCGTGGGGATGCTGGTGGCGTCTGCGGTTCTCTGGGGTGGGTGGGGTGGGGTGTGGGGCGTGGCTGTGCCGATTTTGAGGGGCGGGGAATGGACGTGCTGTCACCATTAGTTCCTGTGTCCAGGCATCCGGAGGCTTCGCTTTCCACTGAAGAGTAACAGGAGAGTGTGGCTGCAGTGGCCGTTTCCGTCGGTCCAGCCTGTCCCGGGGGACATCCAGGCATGAGCCACCGGAGGGACATGCTGGCATCATTTTTCTGATGTCTTGGGGTCGGTCTGACAAGTTGGAATCAATTCCCACTTATTTTTTTCTTTTTGGGTCACACCCGGCAATGCTCAGGGGTTCCTCCTGGCTCTACACTCGGGAATTATTCCTGGCGGTGCTCAGGGGACCCTATGGGATGCTGGGAATCGAACCCGGGTTGGCCACATGCAAGGAAAACGCCCTACCTGCTGGACTATTGACCGGCCCCTCAATTCCCTCTTGAGCAAGCGCCCGACCCGGGCCACATCTGAGCTTCGAGGCCTCCGTTCAGTCAGTGTCACTTTTCCTCCTGCCGACGGCTGCCCCGCCAGCCTGACTCTCTCCTGGCTGTGGGGGCAGATGAGTCAGGCCTCACCAGCCCCAGCCCAGCTGGGACCTCCCTGTTGCCCGTCCTCAGACGCCCAGGTGCCGTGCAGACGGCCCGTTCAGCAGACTGCAGGATACGCTGCCCACTTGCTGCAGGGCCAACACCCCAGCCCTCTCCTGGCTGTTGGAAACAGGGTGGCATAAGTGATCGCCTCGTCTCTCACAGGCGACAGACTTGCTTCTCTGGCCTCGAGGGCCTCTTTTTCTTGGGGGGGGGGGTCACACCCGGCGATGCACAGGGGTTACTCCTGGCTCTATACTCAGGAATGACTCCTGGCGGTGCTCTGGGGACCCTATGGGATGCTGGGAATCGAACCCGGGTCGGCCGCGTGCAAGGCAAACGCCCTCCCCGCTGTGCCATCGCTCCAGTCCCAACGAGGGCATCTTCGAATACGGCTGATCACGTTGTACTCTGGCGGCTCGGGGTCCCTGGGGTCTGGGTGGGGGAGGCACAAGTTTATTTCTGTCTTAAAATAATTTCTAGTGAAGCCTCACGTGCTGGGAGCGCCCCGGCCCGGCCCCCGATGGGCGAGAGGAAACCCTCAGTCCCACGGGGTTCTCGGTTCCCCTTTGGTGTCTCTCGGGTGCCGAGGGAGTCATTGGTCAGCGCATTGAGGGGCAGGAGGTTGCCTGGGGAAGTCAGGGGAGAGGACCACGCCCTGCCCCCCGCCAGCTGGGCGAGGAAGGCCTCCTTCTCACCCGGCACCGCTCTTCCCCACTTCCAGGAGGAAGGAAGCCGGGGGATGGCTTTGGGGGCCTGAAGGCAGAGGCGGGGGTCAGAGAGGCTCTGCAGGGCCTCTGGTGGCCGACTCTCCGCCCTCTTTCGTTTTTATTTATTTATTTATTTATTTATTTTTTTGCTTTTTGGGTCCCACCCGGCGATGCTCAGGGGTTCCTCCCGGCTCTGCACTCAGGAATGACTCCGGGTGGTGCTCGGGGGACCCGATGGGATGCTGGGGATCGAACCCGGGTTGGCTGTGTGTCAGGCCAACGCCCTCCCCGCTGTGCTGTCGCTCCAGCCCCCCCTCCGTCTTCTGTTTGTGCCCTTGGCCGGTGGCTGAGTTGGCTGCTGCCCTCGGCCGTGTCCAGCTGGCCCTGGCTCCTGCTTGGGTGCCGTCTTCACTTCCTCCCCAGCTTCCTGCCGGGCTTCTGCTTTCGTGGAGGTGGGGGCCGCAAAGGCCTGGGGAGGGGGCCGCATGGGGGTGGGGGACTGGGAGGAGAGGCATCATTCAGCCTTTTTCTTTTTTTTTGCTTTTTGGGTCACACCCAGCGATGCACAGGGGTTACTCCTGGCTCTGCACTCAGGAATGACTCCTGGCAATGCTCAGGGGACCCTATGGGATGCTGGGAATCGAACCCATGTCGGCCGCGTTCAAGGCAAACGCCCTACCCGCTGTGCTGTCGCTCCAGCCCTCATTCAGCCTTTTGTGTGTGTGCATGTGTGGTGCCTGGGACAGACCCTTGAGGCCTCACAGATGCAAGGAGAATGCTTCGCCCTAGGCCGCACCCCTGCAACCCCCTGCAGGAGACTTTTCCCTTTTTGCTTGCTTGATTTCGGGGGGTTTCCCCCCGGCCTTCCTGAGACCGCCGGCATTTGCCGTGCAGAGTAAGTTGGGATGTTAGTGGGTTCATCGGTGCTGGGGCTTGAAGTTGTGTCCGGGGGGCTCAGGCCCACGGATCCCCCCATGCCGTCTCCGAGCTCTGTCCTGGACTTTGATACTCGGTCTCTGCCGGAACCTTCAGAGCCTGCCCAGCTGCCCCAGGCCTTCCCTCATGCCATGAGAATGACGCCATGTCCTTGGATGAGAAGAATTTTAAATTGAGTTTGTGATGATTAAATACATCTCTCTCCAGGGGTGGGATGGGGTGGTGGGAGACGCCTCAGAGGGCTGGGGTACGTGACTTTACACGCAGGAAGCTGGGTTTGACCCCTGGCCTGGTGCCCCCCAAGCACTGCAGGAAGTGACCCCAAGCCACGAGCCAAGAGTAGCTCCCAGCAACGATGCCTGCCCCAAGCCCACAGCTCCGTGAAATACCGCGTCTGTTTTCACACAGTTCCAGGCACTGGCCACTCCGGCCCATGTGTCTAAGTTACAGGCCAGGCTGGCTCCATGAACTCAGACTCACGACAGGCACTTCCTGTAGCAGATTTTTTTTTCTTTTCTTTTATTTTCTTTCTTTTTTTCTTTTTCTTTTTTTTTTTTTTGCTTTTTGGGTCACACCTGGTGATGCTCCGAGATTCCTCCTGGCTCTGCTCTCAAAAATTACTCCTGATGGTGCTAGGGAGATCATTCTCGGGATGTTGGGAATCGAACCCGGGTCGGCCACGTGTAAGGCAAATGCTATCGCTCCAGCCCTTACAGCGGATTTTCTGCAGTGGCCTCAAGGTTGGGGGCCAGCCCGAATCTGCTCTGCCCGCGAGATGGACCCTGCAAAGGTGGTGTCTGTGCGACCGTCTGAAAAGCCTCAGTAGCTAAGGGCTGTCCTCTCCCTCGAGCTCGTCCGCGGTCCGCTTGACGTAGGAGAGACACCAGCGGACCGCGGGGATGCAAGGAGCCCGGTGCGGGCACACTTGGGGGATGGAGGGAGAACGAGTCTCCCAGGGCCGTGGAGTTTCTGTCACTTGCTAGACTGGAGATTAAATTGCTCTGGGCTTTCTCGGGAGGGTTGAGGAGGTCCTGGAGGAGGCTGGCAGCGAGGCCCGGTGACGCCCGAGCATGCCGAGGGAACGGCCGGGACAGCCAGCCCCCATCTACCACCCTGCAAACCAAAGGAGACACAGGGAAGCACTGAGCCGGCCCCAAATGTCGCCTCCAGCTGTTCCCGGGATGCTCATTTAGTTTTAAGAAATTTAATTTCGTTTTGCTTTTGGGGTCACAGCCAGCAATGATCAGGGGTTCCTCCTGACTCTGCACTCAAGAATTACTCCTGGCGGTGCTGGGGGGGAAGCATATGGGATGCTGGGAATCGAACCTGGGTCAGCCGGAGTGCAAGGCAAATGCCCTACCGGCTGTGCTATCGCTCCAGCCCTCTGGGTGTTTTGTTACTGTTCCTATTTGTGTGGGGGCCTCGACTGGCCAGGCTCCAGGGCTTCCTCCTGACTCTGCTCAGAGGTCACTCCTGGAGGTGCTCAGGGCACGCTCTGTGGTGCCGGGATCAGACAGACCCAGGTGGGCAGGCACCTCCCCCAACCTTGGGTCGCTCCCGGGTGCTGGCTGTGAGGAGGTGGTTGGTTATCAAGCAGGGGTCGTGGCCTCCGGCCACCAAGCTCAGCACTTCCCTCCCTTCCCTCCAGCCCTGCAGTGGTCAGGGCTCACTCCTGGCTCTGTGCCCAGGGGTCACTCCCGGAGGCGCATGCCCGGTGCCGAGGCTCGCACCTGGGTCTGCCACGAGCAAGGCAAAGGCCCTCCGCTCCGTGCTGGCGCTCTGGGGGGCTGGGTTTGAGCCTGTGGGCCGCTGACCTGTCCAGGCTTATCCTGCGAGTGACCTCCCGGGTTTGGCGGGTGCCTGAGACTGGACCGGCCCTCGCTGGACCCCAGGCGGGACGCACAGAGGTGGGCGGGGTTCAGGCGCCGCGCGCGGGCGGTGGTGCGGGGCCCGGCCGCGTCCAGGCCCTGGGCTGCCCCGCGCCGGCCCGCGCTGATGGACGTGTCCCTGCAGAGCCCGTGTTCTGGTTCCACGTGAAGGAGCTCCTCAGCAAGCACGAGCTGCAGCGCTTCGCGTCCCTGCGCCACATCGCCTCGGACGCCGGCCGGGGCCGCGCCTGGCTACGCTGCGCCCTCAACGAGCACTCGCTGGAGCGCTACCTGCACATGCTGCTGGCGGACCGCGGCCGCCTCGGGTACCGCCCGCGCAGGGGACCGGGGTCCGGGGCGGGGCACAGGGGCCCCGTGCCGCTGGGTGTGGGGGTCCCGGGGCGGGCACCAGAGCCCCTGCGCGCGCCTGGGTCTGGGGGTCCCGGGGCGGGGGTACCAGTGCCCCTGCGCGCGCCTGGGTTTGGGGGTCCCGGGGCGGGGCCCAAGTGCCCCTGCGCGCGCCTGGGTTTGGGGGTCCCGGGGCGGGGTACCAGTGCCCCTGAGCACGCCTGAGTCTGGGGGTCCCGGGACGGGGCCCAAGTGCCCCTGCGCGCGACTGGGTTTGGGGGTCCCGGGGCGGGGTACCAGTGCCCCTGCGCGCGGCTGGGTTTGGGGGTCCCGGGGCGGGGCACCAGAGCCCCTGCGCGCGCCTGGGTCTGGGGGTCCCGGGGCGGGGTACCAGTGCCCCTGCGCGCGCCTGGGTCTGGGGGTCCCGGGGCGGGGTACCAGTGCCCCTGCGCGCGCCTGGGTCTGGGGGTCCCGGGGCGGGGGTACCAGTGCCCCTGCGCGCGCCTGGGTTTGGGGGTCCCGGGGCGGGGCCCAAGTGCCCCTGCGCGCGCCTGGGTATGAGGGTCCCGGGACGGGGCCGAAGTGCCCCTGAGCACGCCTGGGCTTGGGGGTCCCGGGACGGGGCCCAAGTGCCCCTGCGCGCGACTGGGTTTGGGGGTCCCGGGGCGGGGCCCAAGTGCCCCTACGCGCGCCTGGGTCTGGGGGTCCCGGGGCGGGGCCCAAGTGCCCCTGCGCGCGCCTGGGTTTGGGGGTCCCGGGGCGGAGTACCAGTGCCCCTGCGCGCGCCTGGGTTTAGGGGTCCCGGGGCGGGGCGCAAGTGCCTCTGAGCGCACCTGGGTTTGGGGGTCCTGGGGCGGGGCACCAGTGCCCCTGCGCGCGCCTGGGTTTGGGGGTCCCGGGGCGGGGCACCAGAGCCCCTGCGCGCGCCTGGGTTTGGGGATCCCGGGGCGGGGTACCAGTGCCCCTGTGCGCGCGTGGGTCTGGGGGTCCCGGGGCGGGGCCCAAGTGCCCCTGCGCGCGCCTGGGTTTGGGGGTCCCGGGCGGGGTACATGGGCCCCGTGCAGCTGGGTATGGGGGGTCCCGGGGCGGGGCCCAAGTGCCCCTGTGCGCGCGTGGGTCTGGGGGTCCCGGGGCGGGGCCCAAGTGCCCCTGCTCGCGCCTGGGTTTGGGGGTCCCGGGGCGGGGCCCAAGTGCCCCTGCGCACACCTGGGTATGAGGGTCCCGGGGCAGGGCCCAAGTGCCCCTGCGCGCACCTGGGTTTGGGGGTCCCGGGGTGGGGGACATGTGCACCTACGCATACCTGGGTATGGGGGTCCCGGGGGCGGGGTACAGGCACACCTGCGCGCCGGGTATGGGGGTCCCGGGGTGGGATACACACTTACAGACACATGCCCGGGTCTGGGGATCTCAGGGCAGGGTATGCGCGGTGCCAGGCACGCTTGGGTATGGGGGTGGGGCAGCAGGCACCTGCGCATGCTCGAGGAGGGGGACCCTGGGGGCGGGGTAGACGCTCACAGGCGCATGCTCGGGTCTTGGAGTCCCGGGGTGGCAGGGTAGACGCGCACCTGCGCTCCCTCGGGACGGAGTGCGGGGGGGGGGGGGGGGGGGGGTGGTGGTGTTCGTGAGCTCACCTGCTCATGTAGGGGGTGCCGGGGATACGCTCTCACCTGCATGCTCAGGTGGGGGTGCACACCCACATTGGTCCCTCTTGGAGCCGCAGGCTGTGAGGAGCACGGTCTGGAGAGGACCCTCAGGACACTGGCTCCTCCAGCCTTGGGAGCTCCCCCGTCTCTGGGCCTCTGGGATGGACAGGGCGGGGCACCCACACGAGGGGCCACCCCAGGGAGATCCCGCTTCAGGGCCTGTCCCCCTCCCTCCCCCCGGCAGCACTTTCTACGAAGACTGGTCCTTCGTGATGGACGAGGAGCGGGCCAGCATGCTGCCCACCATGGCGGCCGGTAAGAGCCAGAGGCCTTCGTCACTCCCAGAGCGCCCCCCCCGGCCTGGCCCTGCGCCTCGCCACCTTCTGAGTCACTGCCCGGCATTTCCGAAGTGACCGGAGCGGGCAGCGCGGTTCGCTCGACTTTGTCACTCTGCAGGGAGTCCACGGGGCTGTGGCTGTGACGGTGCCTTTGGGGTGCAGTGAGAGACCCGGGGAGGGGTCCCCGCAGGGGTGGCCAGGCCTGTCCCACACGTGCTGTCCCCTCCCTGGCCTCTGAGGGGCCACAGTCTCCCCAGGGCCATACTGGCGGGCCCGTGCACCTGCTCGCCCCTGGGGGTCAGGTGGACCCTGAAATCATGCCCCTCTGACGTCAGCCTGATAGAACTGGGGGCAGCTTGCTGCCAGGTCCTCCCCGGCCCCCCTTTCTTTCCTGAACCTTCACCTCGAACCCCCGCACCGGCCTGTTCCGAGGAACCGGGTTTCCCCACAACCACCTCTGGCCAGCGACCCAGGCAGCTGTGGGGCCGGCCCTTCTGGTCCTCCCCCTGTTGCCCCCGGATGCCCGTGTCCCCTCTTCTCAGGGCAGGCAACCAAGCCCAGCGGGGCCAGCCCTGACTGACCACCAAGGGGGGTCATGCTGGGCTCCTGTCTGGCATGTCCGAACCCTGAGTTTCTGCCTTCACCATGCCCCGATCCATGGCTCCATCTGCCCCGTGGACGGGTGGGGGGCAGGGAGGCGCGTGGGTTTCTGGGGAACGGGGCCCTGAGCGGCCCGGCCCTCCCTGTCCTCCGCCCCTGCTCAGGCCTCAACTCCATCCTCTTCGCCATCAACATCGACAACACGGACCTCAACGGGCAGAGCAGGCTGGCGCCCAGCGTCTCGGACCTGCTCCGGGAGTCCACGCAGAACGTCAGCGCCCTGCTGAAGGGCCCCACGCAGGGCGTGAGCAGCCTGCTGCGGGAGATCACCGCCTCGGCGCCCGTGGCCATCCTCATCCGGCCTGACCAGGACTCCGAGCCACTCCCCGTCGTGACCCGGAGCCTCAATGCCGGTGAGGGAGGCCGCCGGTGCGGGGGGTGGCGGGCGGGCCGGTCAGTGGTGCTTCCACTCCCTGAGCAGGGGCTTCAGGAGGGCCTGCCCGAGCCCACCCTCGGCCGCACGCCCGGCCGGGATGCGTGAAGCATCTGACACGCGGGACGCATCCCCGAGGACAGAGGTGGTTCTTCCCACGCAGCGGCCAGTAGCTGTGACGTGGCGGCTTCTCCCGTGGCTGCTGTGTTTTCATCTGTGTTTATGCTCAGGGGCTGCCCCTGCCTGGGTGCCGGGGGCCATGTGGTCCCCACTGTGGAACCCGGGGCAACATCGTGCATCACGCCACGGCTGCCCAGATACAGGGGAGTGCTGAGTCAGCACAGATACACGGGTATGCTGAGTCAGCACATATAGGGGAGTGCTGAGTCAGCATAGATACACGGGGGTGGGGGGTGCTGAGTCAGCACAGATATGGTGGTGGGGGCTGAGGCAGCGTGGATACAGGAGATGCTGATTCACTGCAGATCCAGGGGGTGCTGAGTCAGCACAGATTGGGTGAGAGCACTGAGCCCAGATGGAGGGGAGAGTGTGACTCCGCTCAGATGGGGATGTGGGGGGGGGGGGGACCGGGAGCAGCTGGACGGTGGGTGTGAGGCAGCTGTGTGGGACCAGGCCTGCGGGTCTGTTTGGTGCCCCTGGTCTCCACCAGCCGCAGGTCTGTCAAGGGCAGAGGGAGGTCGGCAAACCGTGCGGGTGTCTTTTTTTTTTTTTTAATTATTTATCGAATCACCGTGAGAACTGTTACACAGCTTTCAGGCTTAAGTCTCGGTCATACAATGATCAAACACCCGTCCCTTCACCAGGGCGTGTTTTCTATCACCAAGAAGCCCAATGTACCCCCCCATGCCACCCCTCCCCGTGCCTGGGAGGCAGATGATTTCCACTTCACTCTCTCTCTACTTTGATGACAGTCGTTATTTCGACAAAAGATGCACCATTATTCTTTGGAATTTTCCTCCAACAATCAAAAAACTGCTGAAAAGGCATCGTGAAACAATTTGTTTTCTGTTACTGCTTGTGAAGACCATCCGATGTTGCGTGGCTCTGCTGCGCGATTTTGGGTTTCTGATATTTTACGAATTAAGTCTGGAGGGATTTCTTCCAAAAGCCAGATCGTTCCGAGATTGGTTTGCGTGCCTCTGAGTCCATGGCCATGCCAGAGAGCCGCTTGTGGAGGGCAACTTGTGGTCTCGGCAGGGCAAGAAGGACGTGCCGGTTCTGTCCCCCATCCCATGAGGTCACAGTTGGTCCATCACTGCCGGCTCATACCTGGCTGTCCAATAAGCTGTGAGGTGGTGGAAGAGACAGATGCCCTTTCCCTCCCAGGGGGACACGGCGCCATAGCTTACTGCATAGTCTATTCACCTTTCTGCCAGAAACTCCATGTGGGTGTCTTTAAAGCAAGTTGCTAGAAGGGACAATTTATTTTTTTTTGTGGGGGCCACACTTGGCAGTGCTCAGGGGTTACTCCCGGCTTTGTGCTCAGGGATCATCCTGGGGGGTCTTGGGGGACCCTCTGGTTGCTGGGGATCGAACCTGGCTTGACTCAGGGAAATGCTCTCCCCGCCGTCCTCGGCAGTCCTGGGGTGGGTGGGTGTGTGGGAACCATGAAATGCTGGGGTTCCCCCAGGCCAAAGCACACGGCCTCCCCTTTACGCCTTCTCTCGGGACTCTGTTTTATAGTCCACCATTTGCTTTTGTGTCTTGTGTTTCGGGCCCTCAACTGGTGATGTTTGGGGCTCCTCCTGGCTCTGTGCGTGGGGGTTGCTCCCGGTTCAGTGTTCGGTGAACCGTGCGTTGCTGGAACCATGCGGTGCTGGGGACCATACGGGATGCTGGGACTTGAACCCAGGTTGGCTGCGTGCAAGGCAAACGCCCTACCCGTGCTATCGCTCCAGCCCCCATCATCTCCCTTGCTTTCTCTTACCATCTTTTTTTTTTTTTTTTTTTGCCAGATGCCAAAGGCAGAAAGGAGCGGAAGAAGAAAAAGAAAGTGACCAACATCATCTCATTCGATGACGACGAGGAGGAGCCGCCGGGAGATGCACCGAAGAAGCCGCTGGGGGCCGGGGAGGGCTCGGAGGAGAACTCGGACCGTTCCTCCCTCAACGTCTCTTCGGCCTTCGAGAGCCCCTTCGGGCCTCCCTCCACCGGCAGCCGCAGCAGCAGCTCCTGGAAAATGGACTCGCTGTCTCTCAACGGGGACTCGGGCTTCCCCAGGCTCGACGTGAAGAGCATCGACGACGAGGACGTGGATGAGCCCGAGGACCGCGTGTTCGGGACCCCTGCGGTCAGGAAGTGTGTCAGCCCCTCGGGGTCTCCGGAGAAGTGAGTTTCCTGGCGCCGCTTGGGTTTTCTGTTTGTTACTTGGGGGCCACGCTTGGGGGTGCTCAGGGCTGACTCCTGGCTCTGTGCTCACGGGTCACTCCTGTCTGAGGCTCCCGGCTCAGGTGCCGGGAGTCGGATCGGGACCTGCAGCGTTGCGAGGCAAGGACGCTTGTGTCCTCTCTCCCGCCCCCAAGATTCTGGAGGCTTGATTTTTTTTTCCTGTTTATTTGGAGGGTTTTTTTTGTCCACGCCTGGTGGTGCTTGGGGGACGTATACATGGTGCCGGGGATTCCTCCGTCCTCCAGCGACTGTGCAGCAGATGATAACAGCTTGGGCGGGTGGGATCCCTGCCCGCCGGACGGAAGCAGATTCTGCAGAGACTGAGCCCGGCCCGACGTGGGCCAGCTGGAACCGAGCTTGGGACGTGCCGGGCTCCGCGGAGCTCATGCTCTGGCGGCCACCTGCTGGAGCCTGACGGGGATGGGTGACAGACACGCGTGGCCGAGGGCCCCAGACCATGCCTGCAGGTTCTTGCCTCTCTGCTTGTTCTTGCACCTGCTTGTCTGCAGCCCGCAGAGTGCAGTGCCACACGCTGCGTCTCTCTCCCAGGTGCTGGCCCGGTGCCACCCGCCCGATTCCTGCTCACCCACTAGGGCTGTCGCGTCCCCCGAGACCCACATCTCGGGGTTTGCCAGATGACCCAGAGAAAATCCTTGCATTGGGCTGTGTGTGAGAGGGATGGAATGTGGGCTCCTGGACACGTCGGTGTCTGTGTGCATGGGTGCCCAGGATGTATGCTTGCCTGTGTGCACACATGGGCCAGTGTATGGCCGTACACACGAGCACACGCCTACATGCACGTGAGTGTGGACACCGTGTGTGTGTGTGTGTGTGCACACGTCTTGTGTGTGCTGACCATGCATGCCTGTAAAATCTTATCACGCTGAAGGTTGTGTGTTCACGGGCTCACTGGATGGCTCTTTCTCACCGCCTGCGTTCGGTGCTCTTGAGCCCTGTGTGTGTCTGGATCGGGACGGCGGTTCTTTCTCTCAAGCTTGAGCCCCTCTTGCTCTGACTCTGGATCTCTGGAGCCCGAGCTCTCTCGCTTCTGACTCTCCTCTCCGAGCTTACGTCTTAGTTTATATAGCAGTCACATAAGGCGGTGACATAAGGTGGGTTGAATACTGACGAGTCAAGAAGAGAGGTAAGACCACTCCTCCAGGAGATTAACTCAAGGATAAAGTCTCATCTACAGAGATTACTCCAGGTTACTAGGAGATCCACCCAAGGGTGAGATCCCAACAAGGGTGTGTTCTTCCCTCAGTTAGTGATCTACTTAAATAGTTGTAATAAATCTACTTCTAATATTTCTAGCAATGTCATTCTGTATGAGCACAGCAAGAGATATAAATTTAGTTTGGTTCTTCCCGAGAACATCTCACTATACATTCCGCAATCCTCAGGCCAGGTTAATCTTCCTAGCTCCAGCAGGGTCCTAGTCTCGTCGTTACTTACTTTTGGATCAGGACAGCATTTATCCATGATCATGCCCTCAACTTATAGTTGAGTATCGTGGCGCTTGGGCCTGGCCCATTTCACTGCCAGGGTAGCTCACCGCTTGCCCTGGGTCCATTCAGTCCCTCGTCGGGACCCTGCTTTTGGGGTGCTAGGAACTAAGGGCAACTGAGTCAAGAAAGCAGATGCCCAGGAGTAAATATTATTCGGAGTCAATCAACTCCCAAGTTATTAACTGTCTTCCTGTGTCCACACAGAAAGGACATTGCTTACAATACAAGTTCAGTGTCCTTAGATGGGTGTGACCTGACCAACCTAAGCTACCTGAGGAAGGACAAAAGAGTGTTATCCTGCACATGCCTATCTCTGCCTCTCTGTGCACGTCGTATGTGTATGTGGTCGTGCATGTCTGTGCATGTTGGAAGTCTACACGAGGGCATGCAAACGTGTGAACACCACGCGTGTGCACATACATAGGGCACCTGTGCACATGCATGTACGGGCGTGCACTGCATGTATATAGGTCCATGTATACGCACGTATATGGCTGTGTACACTTTGCATGCGGACGTGTGTCTGCACGTATACTCATGGGTGTCCTGTATTGCACAGGGCATGTGTGCGTCCGCATGTGTGCACACACGTTGCAGTCTTCGTAGACACACACGTGCAGCTCCCTTTGCTCCTGTGTTTGTCTACCCCGTGCGTCCCTCTGCTTTCTGATCCGCATTGACTGGAGAGAACGACTTGTGTCTGCTCTGGAAGCGCAGTGCGTTCGTGCCCGAGGGCCAGCTGGGCCCTGCTGCCCGGGGAACATTGCAGGGCGAGTTTCTCCTTGGGGCCCCCACGATGGGGTCGGTGCATTGTTCGGAGTCACTCTGGGCAAGCTTGTGAGGCCATGCAGTGCCCCGGGCTAGGCGAGCTCGTAAGGCCTTGCAGTGCCCTGGGCTGGCATCTGCTCATGAATCCAGCCTCAGCCCCAGAGGGCGGTTCTTTCTCCGGAGTCTGCGGGCCTCGTGGGCACATGGAGGCATCTGGAGTGAGCCAGCGTCTACCTGTGTGGCCGAGCTGACCCCGAGGCCAGCGCCACCCCCCCCCCTCCCCCCGGTATCCTGAGTCCTGGTCAGGACTGGCTCCGTTCTGTCTCTGGGCTCAGTTTGCCCTGGCCCTCGGCTCCTCTCTGCCCGCTGGCCGGGAACCTGGAGGGAGGCCAGCCCTGCGGCATTGTGATGTGAGGCCTGGAGCAGAGCTCTGGCCTGGGCAGGGCCTGGCCCTTCACAGCCACTGGACCTCTGGAGGGTCAGGGACAGCCTCTCACTGGCCCGGAGTGGGGATCGCAGCCACGCCTCCCACAGAGCACCACGGGGACAGAGCTGGGGCCATGCGGTGGCCGGCCGGGTAACTCCCGGGGAGTCGAGCAGCCGAGCGCAGGCACCCTGACCAGCCGGGGCATTGGCCAGGCTCCTGGGGGGTGGGGGCAGGTGGCTGGGCTTGTGGCCGCTTGGGCTTCGTGGCACAGAGCTGGGTTGTCGCCTCCGTGTGGGGTCCTGCAGCCTCTGCTCCGACGCCCACCGGAGTGGGGGAGTGGAGTCCTCCGCCCATGCTCGGCGACAGTGGTGGGGGACGGGGCGGGAAGCCCCGCTGGCTGCTCGGGGGACGCAGAGCTTATGTCTGCAAACGGGCAGAGCGAGGGAGGGGGAGGCTGCGGGGCCCCGTCCTCAGGCCTGTGTCTGGCCACTGCTGGGCGCTTAGCCCGGGGTCAGGGCCGCCTTGGGGACCACCGGGCTGGAGGTTGCTCAGAGCAGACCATCTGCGTGTCGGGTCAGAGCAGGAAGAGGCGTCTTCCCCTCCCGGGTCTGTGGTGAGGCCTCGGGCTGCTCCCAGGGGCAGGGACCGTGTCCACCCCAAGTCCTGGCCCTGCAGCCAGGGCAGCACAGGGCCGTGCACAGTGTGACCCCGAGCCCCTTCAGGTGTGCGGGGCCTGAAGCGTGGCTTGCGCACATTCCTGGGACACCCCCCTCTGCCGGGGAAGGCCCAGGAACGGAAGGGCCACCGTGCCCCGGTCACCGCCCCGGGTGTGCCCCTCCCCCGCCCCCCACTGCGGGCACCCGCCTGCGTTGATGGCACCAGCTGTTTCCGTGTTTTGCGGGTCCCATGACAGAGCAGCCCGGAGAGGCCGGTTCCTCTGGGAGCGGGTCCAGCTCTGGTCTGAACTGTCCCCGCTAGGGCACAAGGGCCAGCAGGGGGTGGGGCCCAATGCCCCAGGGCCTCACTGCCCGTGCCCGTCACCTCTCCTGGGTGCCCCTCAGCCGCTCCTCAGACCCTCCTCAGTGAAGCCTCACAACCCCCTTCCTGGTCCACCCGGCCCTTGCTTCGCCTCTTCCAGGAGCTGCTGGCCGGGGGGCGCTGCTGGGCTGCTAGTCATTGTGGGCTCCTGGTCTCCATGTGCCACTGCCCAGTGCCAAGTGGGCCTGTGACCCGGACATGCAGCACGGCCTGGCACCAGGGGGGCCTCCCTGAGGGCCTGCTGGCACCTGCCGGCCGTGTGTGTGTGTGTGTGTGTGTGTGTGTGTGTGTGTGTCTGCGTGTGTGCGCACGCATGCTGGCTGTGGGACTCCCCAGAAGAGAGTGCTGGGGGGAGTCAGGGCCCCTCGCCTGACTGCTCTCACCCGCCCCAGGCTGGACGGGACCCCCGACCTGGCCCCGCTGCATGGCTGGGCCCCGCTGCAGATGCTCCACGGAGACGCCGGCGTCCTCTTTCCAGTTGGCAGCTCTGGCTCCTATAGCCCTGCAGGTGCGTGGGGCAGCGGGTCCCCTGGGCGGGGGGACAGGGCGCGAGGGGGGCCCTGGGTAGGCTCACGGGCAGGCGGCTTTGCTGGGTCAGCCGCATGGCCACCAAGAAACAGGAGAAGGTTCCAGAACTTTCCCTCTCAGCCTCCCGACACTGCACAGCAGAGTGTGTGTGTGTGTGTGTGTGTGGGGTGGGGGGTGTGGAGGGGCCGGAAGCCGCTTTCTTCAGGCCAGTTTGGGAGAGGTTCAGCCCTCGCCTGCTGCTCCCCTGCCCCACTGGGTCCCTGGACTTTCTGGCCTGTTCTGAGGCCCCGAGGGATCGGGTGATGGTGGCAGCTTTGCTGGGGGCTGCCGGCGTCGCGCCAGGCGGGGAGGGGGACACCCCAAGTGAATCTGGGGAGGCGCCTCCGAGGCCCTGGGCACCTGGTGGGCTCAGCGCTGGGTGGCGCCCTCTTGTGGCCATCCCGGGCGGCGTCGGGCGGGAGCGGCTGGTGGCCCCGGGGAAGCCGATTTCAAGCAAACCTCCCTGGGCTTTGAGGTTGGCAGCGACGTCAGACTTCACGGAGGCTCCAGGAGGCTCGGGTCAGAGGTGAAGCCGGAACCTGGGCCCGGGCCGGGCACCGCGACCGTATGTGAGGGTGCTGGGAGAAGCCGGCCCGGAGCCGAGGAGCCGATTCCCTGCGGGGCCTCGACTCCCTGCGCTTGTCTCTGCAGACGCGGCCCTTGGGAGCCTGGACAACGGCGCGGAGCCCGCGGACCCCGAGCCGGGGCCTCGGCGCGGGTGAGTGACCGGCCACCTGCGGGGCCAATCCCTGCTGGGCTCTCCACGTGCCTCTGTGCGACGGCCACGTGTTCTCTGCGTGCGTGTGTGTGTGTCCTTTGTGTATGTGGGTGCGATGTGTGTACAGGTGCCTATGTTCTCTGTGCATTTGTGTGTAGAGGTGTGTATATATGCTGGGCACATGTGTGATGTGTTGTGTGTCTGTGTGTGCGTGTGTGTAGATACGTTCTCTCCCCATGCACCCGAGCATGGTGGACGTGTGAGATGTGGACCCTGTGACTCCCTCCCCCGTCCCTTCCGTGTGTGTGACACAGACAGTCCCCACATTGCACGTGGTGTGAAATCTGGGCGAGGCCCCCCAGCGGCTCCCAGGGAAACAGGGTCCAGTGCCCCAGTGTCTGACCCCGGCTCCTTTTTCAGAGGACTAGGACAGAGGCGTGTGTGAGCATGTGCACGTGTGTACGCATGTGTGTATGCGTGTGTATCTGTGTGCATGCATGTGGATGTGTAAGCGTGTACACGTGCGTGTATGTGTGTGCGTGCGTGTATGTGTATGCGTGTGAGTGTGTGTGTGTGTGTGTGACCTGGCACCCAGTGTGTCCCGCTGTCCGTTAGTTGTCTGTGCCTCATACTTGCCCTGTGCCTGGTCCTCGCATTTCTCCTCCGTGGGACTCTCAGGGCGCAGGAGCAGAAGGCAGCCTTACGCTGGACGTGGGACTTCCTGTTTGTGGTTTTGGGGACCCCCGGCTGTGCTCGGGGCTTACTCCGGCACTGCAGTCAGGAGTGATCCCTGAGTGGTCGAGGGAGGGCGGTGGTACGTGCGGTGCCAGGACAGGAAACAGTCAGCTTGAATGCACGGCCAGAGCCTTACCCCATGTCCTGTCTCCCTGGCCCTTGGGGCCATTTGAAACTGAAAAATTAGCCCCATAAATGCACAAGAAATTTGTCCCCCCCAAACTCCCCCCCCGCCATGCCCTGTGTGTGTGTCCTGCTGGCCGGGACAGGCACCCATGCATCTGCTCTGCTGTCAGTCGGGGTCCCGGCAAGTGTCATCCCTGCCCAGGATGCAGTGCCCTGGCCCCACCCGTGCTCTCCTTAGCGTCCCTGTATCTTCCATTTTCATGAGTGGTGGCGTGAGGGGGAGTGCCCCTGGCTCAGCGCCACGTCCCGCCTCCTGGTCTTCAGGCCGTGACCCTTCTGCCCTCCCCTCTGCAGCGTGGATGCCAGCCCCCCGGGCCCGGGATGCCCACCGAGCTGCCTACTGCCGCCCGCCGCTGCGCCTGAGACCATGACCATGAGTGAGTGCTCCCGAGGGGGTGGCGGCAGGTGGCCGCGAGTTCGGGGGAGGCCTCGGCTCCCCTCCTGCACCCTGTGGGGCTCGGGGCACGGTGCTCACGGGGATGCAGGGAGGCTCGCCCCTCCTTGCTCTGCCTGACCCCCCCCCCCCCCACTTCCTCCTCCTCTGGGCAGCGAAGGACCCTCCGGGATGATAGGAGGGTTCTGGTCTGATCATGTGGAGAAAGGCTTGGGGGTGGGTGGCGGCCTCTGGGCTGCAGCAGGGGCATCCACTGTTCGTGGGGTCCCTCGCTGGCCCCCAAGTCTCCACGGGAGGTGACGGCACGATTGCTGGGGCGGTCGCATGCCCACAGGACTTGCTGCCTCTGGGGGCTGCCGAGGGCTCCCCTTGCAGTGGCCTCTCTGGGCCTGCTGGGAGTGCCGGGGGTGGGGGGGTGGGGTGGGGGGGTGGGGAAGTGGTGTCGGGTTCAGGACCAAGGACAGAGCCCCCAGTGGAGCTTGGCACGTCCCTGCCAGCGCAGAGGTCCCCCAGCGCAGGGTCTCACAGTGACCCTCCGGCCGAGGCACGTCCTAGGGGACACCCGCATCCTGGCCCTGGCTCTGCCTTTCCCCGTGGGGCTGGACCCCGGCAGCCCGGAAATCACCTTTCTGAGCACTGTGAGTCTCTTCCATGCGTCTCAGCCTGGCCCCACCCAGCTGCCCCAGGACCGAGCCGGCTGGGGACGACCCTCGTCTCCGTCCAGACGGTGCGAGGGGCCCTCGCCCTCAGGAGGACGGGCTGGGGTTCACTTCTGTCCCCAGTGCTTGCCCAGGGTCCCACCCCCGGGGGCCAGTCCAGGTTCCAGCCCCACCTGCCGCAGAGACGATTTCATCCAGGGTCCCCTGGTGCCAGAGCAGATGGGGGGTGGGGGGCGCAACAGCAGCCGGGCCCTCCCCAGGCGCCGGTGACGGCTGCTGCTGTCCTGGGGGCAGGGGCTGGGGTCCTTGGGTCTTGCACACACTGTCCTGTAGCCCACTGTGAGGAATCCCCAGGCGGGCAGAGGGGCGGGGGGAGAGGCAAGGCGGGAGGGAGGGAGGGAGAGAGAGAGAGACAGAGAGAGAGACAGAGAGAGAGAGAGAGAGAGATACACGGGAGGGGAGAGAGAGACAGGCTGGAGAGAGACACGGGACAGGAGGGAGAGGAGGCGGGAAGAGCCCGAGCCGGCCTCAGGGCAGCAGAGGATCCTGGCACTCGTGCTGGTGGTCGCTTCTTTCCTTTTCTTCCCAAAACCTTTCTTGGCACAGCCCCGGCGAGTTTCCCCTTGAAGAGCCTCAATCGCGACCCAGGGGAGGGTCTGAAGCCTGAGTAGGACCTGAATCTCTGACCCGACCCCCGAGGCAGAGCCCCCCCCCCCCCAGCGCCCCCGTGTCTGCCCGGCTTGGCGGGGCCCCCATCGGAGAGGGAAGGTCCCGCAGCACCGAGTGTCTGGGGTGGGGGCCGTGGCCGGCCCCTGCTGAGCCTGTGAGCCGAGCGCCGAGGGCACAGCCGCCTCCCTCTGGGGTCCACTGCCCACTCCCCCCCACCCCCCTAGGCTTAACCTCCACATGGGGCCACAGCACAGGGCCCTCACGCTTAGGGGGCACAGCCAGTGCTGCAGGGAGGCTTGCCTGCGGAGCAGGGGTGAGTCGGGGCTGCCCTCTGCCAGGCCCTTGCGTGCTCCCATCCTCTGGGGCATCCTGGCTGCCGAGGGCAGAAATCACAGCCCAGTGCAAATGGACTCCCGGGGGGACGTGGAGTTGTGGTGGTGGGGTGGACGGGTGTGCGGATGGGGCCCTGCGTGCAGGGGCGGGGCGTGGTGAGCAGCAGCCGGGCCGAGGAAACGGGCTCGTGGAGGGGGTCTCCGCCCCGCGGGCCGCTGTTTGTGTTGTGGGGTCCCTGGTGGGCTCACAGACCCCTGCAGATCACCCGTGGCCAGCCCTGAGCCCCCCAACGTCCTAGTGCAGGTCCTTGTGCCGACGGGTCGGGCTGCAGCGGTCTAGGGAGTGCGAGGAGGGTTGGGTGGGGGACGGTGGTCCCCGGTGGCCCCGCGCTCACGCCGCCCCGTCCCTAGGCGAGCTGCGGCAGGCCACGGTGGCCATGATGAGCCGGAAAGACGAGCTGGAGGAGGAGAACAGGTACGGCCGGCCCGGGAGGGTCTCACCGGTGCCGATTCCCGGGAGTCCCCGCCTCGCGGGGGAGGTGAGGGCCGCCGCCTGCGCGGGGCTGAGCGTTGGTCGGTCACCCACCCAGGTCCCTGCGGAGCCTGCTGGACAGCGAGATGGAGCACTCGGCCGCGCTGAGGCAGGAGGTGGACAGCCTGAAACGGAAGCTGGCCGAGCAGGAGGAGCGCCACGGTACCAAGGTCCAGGCGCTGGCGAGGTAGGGGCGCGGGGGGCGGAGGTAGGGGTGCGTGGGGCTGGGGTGGGAGGGTGGAGACCAAGGAAGGGGCGTGTGGGGCCGAGGCGGGGGCCCGGGGGGCCGAGGTAGGGGCGCAGGGTGCCCCGAGGAGGGCTAGAATCCACAGCACATCTCCCCCCTGTGATTTTTTAAGTGGGAAGAAAAGTGTCCATCAATAACGGAAAACACCCGTGAGCGTTTCCGTTTGAGTTGCACAGTTGGAGTCTGCAGGCGTGTGGGCTGGGATGCCGAGGGGGCAGGGGGTTAAGCTGGGGACTAAGCAGTGAGCACCGCCTGGTGTCCCCGGCCCCCTGACTCTGTGCTTGCTGGGCTCGGGGCGGGCATCGTGGCCTCCCCGTGTTGCCGCCCTGATGCCCGTGCCTGGCCCTGGGGTCGCCTCTGCCCTTGGCCGCTGCGAAAACGGCCGCAGCCAGTCACTGCGCGTGTGGCTCTTTGTCCCTGTCCTCGTTCCTCGTGGAGGACGCGTTCCTGGGAGCACCCTTGCCAGAGGCTCTTCCGTCCCTTCCCGCCCACAGGGGGTTCTGGAAGGTTCCAGGCGCAGAATGGCCGTGGTGCCACCGGGGGCAGCAGTTTCTGTTTCTTGCTTGGGAGGGTTGATTTCCAGGAGTCGCTGAATAATTTTTCCCCCCCTGGGGAGAGTGCCCGTCAGTTTGGGTGTGTCTGTGCTAAGGGTGGGGGGCAGACCTGCCGTCTCCCCACAGCTGGTGGCAGGGGCCCAGGGCCGGAGCTGCCCTGCAGTGAGGAGACGGGGGAGGTCCCCTCCTGGTGGGGCAGGGGTCCGGCCACCTGGGTGCTCAGGGGCCTGTCACCCGGGACCTGGCCATCACCCCTCCCCCAGCTCTGCTCTCCAGCCCCTGCTCCAGGGCCTGCCGTACTCCGCTTCCCAAAGGCATCTCCCGGAGTGACCCTGGGGGGCCCCAGGCCTGGTTGGTTGTTCTTTTTGTTCCTTTTTTTTTGCTTTTCGGGTCACACCTGGTGATGCTCAGGTGTTACTATTGGCTTATGTACTCGGGAATGACTCCTGGCACTGCTCGGGGACCATATGGGATGCTGGGAATCGAACCCGGGTCGGCCGCGTGCAAGGCAAACACCCTCCCCGCCTCGCCGTTGCTCCAGCCCCGTGTGCCCATGCCTGATCGTGTCCCAACCCCTCCCCTGCCTCGCCGCCTGTCCCCTCTGTGACCGGGCTTCCTCACTGGGGCTGGATTGGCGCGGGGGCGAGGGGCGGGCGGTGGGGTGGGGAGAGACAGCAGTGCCGGCCGCCTCGGCTGCTTGCGGCCCCCCGGCGCTGACGAGAGCCCATGGTGCTGGCCGCCCAGTGGCTGTCCCCCCAGAGCTTCCGGCCACTCCCTGTCCCGGGGCGCCTCCCGTGGGGCTCCAGCCCTGCTCACGCCCCTTCGTCCCCTTCCTGTGTCTGCCTGTCCGTGGGGGGCTGCCCAGCCGCATCTGTGTGACCGTGTCTGTGTGAGGCAGAGTGGCACGGTCTGTGGGGACGTCCGGCACCCTCACGGCCTCGCCGTGTCCAGCTCTTCTCCCGCAGCTCTGGCGACGGACCCTAAACCACCCGCCACTGCAGTCCCAGCTCTCTGGCTGTCGCTGGCTCCATGTCTGGAACTCGCCACCAGGGGGCAGCAATGTCCCCGGTGATGCCCGAGCCTGGCTCCCTCTCCCTCCCTCCCTCCCTCTGTTTCTCTTTCTCTCTCTCTCTGTCTCTCGCTCTTCCTCTCTCTCTGTCTCTCTCTCTTTCTCTCTCTCTCTTCCTCTCTCTCTCTTCCTCTCTCTCTGTCTCTCTCTTCCTCTCTCTCTCTGTCTCTCTCTCTTCCTCTCTCTCTGTCTCTCTTCCTCTCTCTGTCTCTCTCTCTTCCTCTCTCTCTGTCTCTCTCTTCCTCTCTCTCTCTGTCTCTCTCTCTTCCTCTCTCTCTGTCTCTCTCTCTTCCTCTCTCTGTCTCTCTCTCTTCCTCTCTCTCTCTTCCTCTCTCTCTGTCTCTCTCTTCCTCTCTCTGTCTCTCTCTCTCTTCCTCTCTCTCTGTCTCTCTCTCTTTCTCTCTCTCTCTTCCTCTCTCTCTCTTCCTCTCTCTCTGTCTCTCTCTTCCTCTCTCTCTCTGTCTCTCTCTCTTCCTCTCTCTCTGTCTCTCTCTCTTCCTCTCTCTGTCTCTCTCTCTTCCTCTCTCTCTGTCTCTCTCTTCCTCTCTCTCTCTGTCTCTCTCTCTTCCTCTCTCTCTGTCTCTCTCTCTTCCTCTCTCTGTCTCTCTCTCTTCCTCTCTCTCTCTTCCTCTCTCTCTGTCTCTCTCTTCCTCTCTCTGTCTCTCTCTCTCTTCCTCTCTCTCTGTCTCTCTCTCTTTCTCTCTCTCTCTTCCTCTCTCTCTCTTCCTCTCTCTCTGTCTCTCTCTTCCTCTCTCTCTCTGTCTCTCTCTCTTCCTCTCTCTCTGTCTCTCTCTCTTCCTCTCTCTGTCTCTCTCTCTTCCTCTCTCTCTGTCTCTCTCTCTTCCTCTCTCTGTCTCTCTCTCTTCCTCTCTCTCTCTTCCTCTCTCTCTGTCTCTCTCTTCCTCTCTCTGTCTCTCTCTCTCTTCCTCTCTCTCTGTCTCTCTCTCTTTCTCTCTCTCTCTTCCTCTCTCTCTCTTCCTCTCTCTCTGTCTCTCTCTTCCTCTCTCTCTCTGTCTCTCTCTCTTCCTCTCTCTCTGTCTCTCTCTCTTCCTCTCTCTCTCTTCCTCTCTCTCTGTCTCTCTCTTCCTCTCTCTCTCTTCCTCTCTCTCTCTTCCTCTCTCTCTGTCTCTCTCTTCCTCTCTCTCTCTGTCTCTCTCTCTTCCTCTCTCTCTGTCTCTCTCTCTTCCTCTCTCTGTCTCTCTCTCTTCCTCTCTCTCTCTTCCTCTCTCTCTGTCTCTCTCTTCCTCTCTCTCTCTTCCTCTCTCTCTGTCTCTCTCTTCCTCTCTCTGTCTCTCTCTCTTCCTCTCTCTCTCTGTCTCTCTCTTCCTCTCTCTCTATTCCTCTCTCTCTTCCTCTCTCTCTCTCTTTCTCTCTCTCTCTTCCTCTCTCTCTCTCTCTCTCTCTCTCATCCGCAAATGTGCCTTTGGAATTTTATGCTCAGGAGCCCCAGGGTCACTTCCAGCCCCCCACCCCACCCCAGTCCTTCAGAGCCCTGGTCCCGGCCCTCAGTCCTGCCTCCCCTAACCCTCCCTGGCCTGCCCACTCTCCTGTGCCCCTTTTCTTTCAGGCCCAGTTGTTCCCCCATGAGCCACCTTCCTGCAGGTGGGGGGTGGCGGGGTGGGGGGGCTCCTGCCTCCTGGCGGCTGCGTGGGAAGCCCCCTGGCCGGGTGTGGCCCTGGGCGCTGCTCTCCCTGTTTCCTGGTCCTGCCACTGAGTCCAGGGCCTTCCCCCACCTCGTCCCAGCCCGCGAGCCTGTTTGTCTTCTTAGCAGCCCACCCAGCCCTTGGGAATCGTTGATGAACTAAAATTCTTTTTTTTTTTCTTTCTTTTTTCCCTGGGGGTTGGTGGATCACACACAGCTGTGCTCAGGGCTGACTCCCGGCTCTGTGCTCAGGGATCCCACCTGGCGGGGCTCAGAGACCAAACGGGATGCCGGGATCAAACCTGGGTCAGCCACGTAGGAGGCCAGCGCCCTCCCCGCTGTGCTATCGCTCAGGCCCCAGAAATCCATCCTTATATATGTATTTTGTTTTGTTTTGCTTTTTGGGTCACACCCGGCGATGCACAGGGGTTCCTCCTGGCTCTGCGCTCAGGAATCACCCCTGGCGGTGCTCAGGGGACCAGATGGGATGCTGGGAATCGAACCCGGGTCGGCCGCGTGCAAGGCAAACGCCCTCCCCGCTGTGCTATTGCTCCAGCCCCCTACATATGTGTTTTTAAAGTGGAATCACTGTACGTGACAAAGTGACTAAGATGCTGAGGATTGGGCTCCTGGCATGCGATGCTGAGACACACCTGTCTCCCCACCAGTGAGTGACCAGTGCCCATCCCTCCACCCGTGTCCACTTTGAACTGAAGTTCTTGGGGTGTAAGTAGCGAGGTGGGCTGGCGTGAGTGCCCGCACGGAGAGTCTTCTGCTCAGGGCCTGGAAAGTGCGTGTCCTGCCTGGATCAGGGCTTGGGGGGGGTATGTAGTGGGGGGAGGAGGGGGGAGACGCTGGGGCTCAGCCTGAAACAGGGAGAGGAAGAAGGGCTGCCACCCCTCAGTGCGCTAGAGCTCTCCTGAAGTGGGGTGACCAGCGGCCCCTGGGGAGGGAACGAGCTTGCCCCGTCCACCCTGTCTGCTGTCTCTGGTGGTTGTCAAGAAGCGGCGAAAGGGAAATCTTTTATTTCTTTTTCATTTTTGTCTTTTTGAGTCACGCCCGGCGATGCCCAGGGGATACTCCTGGCTCTGCACTCAGGAATCCCTCCTGGCGGTGCTTGGGGGACCCGATGGGATGCTGGGAATCGAACCCGGGTCGGCTGCATGCAGGGCAAACGCCCTCCCCGCTGTGCTGTTGCTCCGGCCCCCGAGAGGGATCTGGTGTTTGAAGGGGGTGACCCACGGGCCCAGGACCAGCAGAAGGGGGGCCAGGAAGGAACCGCTTGCTCTCCTGAGCTCCAGAGGCCGTGTCCCTTCTCCCCGGGGACGGGTCCGGTTTGGCGGAGGTGGGGAGTGGGGTGGCTTTGTTGTCTCTGCATAAAGCCAGTCCCCAGCCCTCGGCTTTCTGGGGCCAGCAGTTTCCGTGTCAGGGGAGGTGAAGCCGGGTCCCAAACTGGGGCGCGTGCCCGCGGGCTCCGACGGCAGCTGACGTCAGGGCTGGGCTCGGCCTGGGAGGTGTTCTTGGCTGAGAGACGACGGCTGTCACGTCTGGTGACGCCGGCGCTCTGCAGAGTTCCTCTCGCTCCCCGAGGAAGGTGAGTTCAGTGGGGCTGGGGGCGGGTGCAGACGCGAGAGACGGGCGCCGGGGCTGCCCCCTCCCTTCTCGGAAAGGGGCT